TGGATAGTGTTTTGTAGGTGCAAACACTAAATGTTGCAGCTAAAAACGTTGCATCATACAAAGACAGATGAGAGCAAGCCAGACCAAAGCTGAAAGTACTGGGAAGCTCAAAGGAAGTAATAAAATGGAGTATTTGGGTTTTTTTTTTAATATTCACCTTGGGGCCAAAGAGAATGATATTCCACACACACAAATTCACTGTTGAGTCAATGCCATGATGAAGCAAAACTGTCTGATGCTTGTATCTCTTCACAAGCTTGGTATATACCATACTGTCACCTGAAATGTTGACATCAAGGACTTTAAAGGTGGATTGATAGTCAAGGCAGGGACTTCTCTAAAGATTAGTGACCTTTCCTCCAAAGCCTCCCTTTCACAGTATGACCTAGAGCACTTATAAGAGCAGAACTCTGCTTTGTGCATGAAAATTTTATTAATCAGATCTAAACTAACTCCTACATTCATTTGAAGTAACTGCATGGCCAGTGGTATATGGCTACCTCCAAGACTGAAATCCATGGATGGGAAAGGGTGCTGGTCAATAACAAAATTCCTTAAAGGTCAGTTGAAATTTTATTATATGATGCAGACTTGTGACAGAAGTTAGCTGCTCTGATTTTTGCAAGATTTTTCCAACCATGAATATTTATCACTAAAGGTTCTATTCTAAGCCCATAAGGTCTCTTAGGTCATAAGCTGTGGCTTTCCCTTTGGCAGGGGGTAAGATAAAGGAGAAAAGAAATGTCTGAAATGAATTATAGGAACATAAAAAGATGTATTTATGAGTTATCATTAATAATTATTATTTTGAGTGTTGGGAGTAAACACTCCTTTAAATGCCACTAAACCCACATTTGCAGGATGTAATTCTGGTCTGCTTTGCACTATTCAACTTTAATTTAGCAGAACAAAGTTACTGTCATGTACACAAGAGCAAAAGTGCAACTACCTCTTTATTCCTTAAAAAATCCTCGCTGCAGGGAGACACTTTCATAATAAAGCAAATTGGTATGTCCATTTGTGTATGTATCATAGGTGATCTGTTTATCAAGAAATGAAAGAACATTTCCTTCCAGTTTCTGTTTTCCTTGTGATTGATATTAATTAGGTTTTCTGCAAAGCATGGCTTATCTTGAACTGAACCCAAAGCACATGAATATGTTTCTATGCGGTAAGATTTTCTTTTCTTGAAATGAAGAATGGGATGAAGATGCTTATCTGAGATCAAACAGGCTTCAGGTAGAGTTTACATCAGCAGCACTTTGAAATCCATTGTTAGAGTGTAGTTGGTATCAATAAGGAATGAGAATGGTGTCCTGGATTGTGACTGCATTTATTAACTTATTTCCAGCAACTAAAAAGGGAAAGCTGTCACATACCTCCAGTCATAGTCTTTTCTTCCTGAGATGAAAGAGGCAAGTATAGTTCATAATGAAAATTAATGGAATCCCTGAGAAAAAGAAAATAATCACTGTTAAAAATAAAAGCTTGTGAATTTGAGGTCTAATGTTAGTAACAGAGTTGAACAGAAGTTTGCAGTGTAAGGGCTGAGAGTTTACTCCACTGCCCTCTTTGCCTCCCGTCTGTATGCCACGGACAACTGTTCTACAGCAATGTTCTGAGCAGCCAGGGCTCAGGAGGTCACCCTGGTGCACCAGCCCAGGTGCTGAATGCCATCCCTGTGCATCCCACTGCCAAGCTACCAGGCCCCATTTCTCAAAGTGGAGCACCACACTTAAGACTTTTCTAGTATTTCATAGAGCCTGTTTATACCTAATGTTATAGTACAGTCTTATTCTGAGCCTTATGTTTTAGGAAGGTTCTAGGTACAGATGCTAAATCTGTCTTTTCTGTAGTATTAGCCAATACCCTCTGATGGAGTATTGTGAAATAGATCCAGTGACTTAATTTAATTCTCTCTTTACACCTGATGTAGGTTATTTTTTCCCCTTCAGCTTCCCTCTAATCCCCTGCTTAGTGGTTCTGCAGCTCCCTTCACCCCTCACTGAGCTCATCGTGCCCACACAGCCCATCCAGCTATTGCCCTCTCTTTCCTGTGCTCCTGTGCAAGCCCTGGTATTCTCAAATCACCTCTCTGCTAAAGCTTCACCACTCTACCACTGGCAAAATAGTTTACACTACTCTGTTGTGTACAAGTGCAGCTTATCCCAGTAGTGACACATTTAAATCCCAGGACAGTTAAACCCTTCAATAGTTTGGTCATGTATGACATGTAACTAGATAGATGTATTACCCAGCAAGCATTTCTCCTGCTCCAGGATTCAGAGAGAAAAGCTTTTGCCAGCTTCCAGCATCATTGCTTTTCTTCTTTGGCATACTTTTCCCCCCTTCTCTTTTTAGCAGCATCCATTTGTACCAGTACCAGTATTTTCACCATCACTCTGCCAGTTATGGTAGTTACTAATTTCTTAATAAAAGAGAATAGCTGCAAATTAGGGCTGCCATATGGCTTTTATTACTAGAGAATGAGTCTTTTCCTATCCCTTATTTTTATTGTACTGAAGAAATGCTGAAAAAAAGAAACAATATGGTTTGTGTATTTTTTTTTGTTTTGTTTTTGTCACAGAGTCCCAGAAAGGGCCACTCCACTTTACAGATAAAAGAAGTGATTTACTTTCCATGCTAAATCACTCTTCAACTTCTCCTAAGCATAGACAGCCAACTGTGCCTAATCGTGTGTGGTAGTTCAGTGATATGGACTACTGTTCATTGGGGATTGAGCTGCTCATTTTAGTTAGGACCACAAATTGAACTCAAACCAAGGTCCCAAAGAATAAAGCATGTGTTTTATACATTAAGTCATTGCTCCTTTCTTACTTGGCCCGTGAAATGAATCAGGGAAAGATTATTTTCTGGGTAAATTGGTAGTAAAACCCTGATGCAGACAGTTCCACAATTTGATTGCAGCCTGACTTCCACTTATTGAATATCACATCAGGCAGTGGTTCAAGGGTTTCATATGACAGCTTTAAAATCTGCAAAGTTTTCAGAGGTACTTACTACATTGTGATCAGGTCACAGATCTAAATGTCAGTATTGTATGCTTGATTTGCACATTTCAAAACGATTTGGTAATTTTTTCATTTTATCTGCATGCATGAAGTGATTTGGAATACAGAAACAATTTGGAATCATATTTAGTTTGTAACAGTTCAATTAACGTAAGTGCTGAAACATGCTTCTTTCTTAGTAACTAGTTTAATTGGTTACTATTGCAAGAATAGGTTTTGAAAGAATGCCTAAAAGGCCAGGGGCAAAGTAAAGCCCACTCTAGAGAATCCATGTTCCTGCATAGGCATGTGTGAAAAAGAAATAGCAAACAGTCTTTGGGGCCACAGTGCAGTGTATGATTGCCAATGGGAAAAGGACACATAGCCTGAGCAAGAAATGGACCTCACAGCAAATGTTTTTCTTTGCCATAGTTACTAGCATAACCTCAGCTCCCTTTGGCAAGTTTTATTACTGTTTAATAAGCAAGAATAGTAGAGGACAACAAGGTTGCAAAATCTTAATGGTTCATTATTTAAATAGCATATTTAAACATTGATTTGAGCAGTAAATGCAAAGATGAGGTAAAATAATATAGTAGTGTGATTTATAGGACATTTCCACGTGCCAGTGTCAGGAAGTGTTTGTCTAATTAATTTAAGGAAACATCTGCTTTTCTTTTGAAAGTCTGACTTTTATTTGCTAGAGCCAGAGATCTATTTTTTTTTAAAGTATTTGCACTTTGAAGCTTTTTTTGCTTAGGTTTAAAAATAAAAAGGACATGACTCTTCAGAGATGGTAAATCACTATGAACATTTATTCTCTTCTGTTACAGATGAATAAGGAAAAAAAAACTGCATGGAAACCTCTATATCACTGCAAAGGAGTGCCTGGGATTTTGGTGAGATTTTAAAACTTTCTTTCTCTCACAAACCTGCATCATAGCTCAGTGCAATGAAATAATGAATGTCTCTGCTGGATTCTGGGCAGAAGAGAGGACTTGAGGCTGTATTTCTGTGTTTCAAACTCTTTCAGCCACAAGGTTTTGCTGCAGTAATCCAGCTGCAGTTTGCTCAGAGCACTGACTGTGCCCACATTGCTACAAGGAAGAAGTGATGTCTCAGATTCCTCTCTGAGATCCTGGGAAGGAGGAACAAGAGTAATGTCCTTCTCTATGGGGTGGGGACTCCATAAATCAAAACTTCCTCTGCTACTTTAAGAATGGGCAAGTTATTGAGTGTCATTTTTCAGCACACAGAAGACTCATGTTTATTAAATAAACGAGTATGTGTTCTCCACTTTAGGTAATGACAAACACAGCTACTGCCAGGGGCTGAGGTAAGGTACACCACAAGAGCAGGTGCCATTACATCTGATTTCATCCATCCAAATGTTAGGTCTCTAATCAGCCCCTGTCCTTCCTACATAACTAATTAAGAAAAATCAGTACCTCAAGTGACAACCATTCCCCCCAAACATTGTAAAAGCTGCATCGGCTGTGAGAGCTGGAAAATGGCACAGAAAGTTCCCTGAGTGGGGGCAAGTCTTGGAACCCAGCTAGACTTGTTCTTGTACAGATGAGGTGAACTACAGCCAGTGTACAGCTATACATTCTGGAAGTGTATAGGCTATACACTCTGCACATATATAGCCAGTCATTCCTTTAAATGTGAGGATATCTTGACAAAAAAAGGAACCAATATTGTTACCATAATCAAAAGTTAGGTATACTCTGGGCTTTCAGATAATATGTTAATAGATGACAAAAATGTAATGTTGTAAAGATGTGGTATAATAAACGATGTAGGACAAACTCAAATTTCTACTAAATAAGCCTGGAAAATGAGGATTATATAGTATGTGTACTTAATTCACTACCAAGACTGATAAATTCAATATACAGGTATTACATTTTCTTAATTCAAGAAAATTAATTAAGAAACTTTATTGTGAATAGGTATTAGCTGTAGGTTGCATCTACATCTGATGAATTTAACTGAAATATCAGTAACATAATTTTGGATATTGTTTTAAAGATTATTTATCTTTTCATTCATTAAAGAAAAAGTTGAGATGACTCTCAAGGAAAAAAGCTTTTTTTAAAAAATGAAATTCTCCTTTTTTAAAAATTTTTCTTCTGTGGTAAGACACAGCTTCAAGGAATCTGTTGGTGGGCTGCCTTTAGGTGATGGTTTTGATCATGAGACTGAGAGAAGTAGGCTTTGGTTACTGGAGCTGCAGGGCTGGGGAGGAGCAGAGATGGGCCTGTGGGTTCACCAGCAATGGTGGGAGCTTCTTCTTCTTCTTCTTTTTCTTCTTCTTCTTCTTCTTCTTCTTCTTCTTCTTCTTCTTCTTCTTCTTCTTCTTCTTCTTCTTCTTGGGGAGACGCTGCATAACTGTCAACACAGATATACCCAAATGCACAAGCTCACACTGAAAACTTTTATTGACCAGTGGTATCTGTTCAGTTCCCAGCTCAAGGCACAAAGTGAATCCAGAAGCCAACTAACCCAGGAGCAGTGACCTAAATTGGACCAGACTGAAAAATCTGTCCATTCTTCAAGAGAAATAACCCCACCTATTCCATCAGGGGCTGCTTTATGAGATGGGTCAAAAGAGGAGCATTAGATGAGAGCAACGAAGTGCCTGTAGATAAATCTAGGCAAATAACTGATGAATAAGAAACTCTTATGACCCCAAAGATGAAGACAGATGTCATACTCCAAACAAAAGGCAAGGAGAAAGTGAGGAAGAAATGAGCAGAGAGAGCACTGCAGGTTTTCTCAGCCTGTGGTCCAGGAGCCTCTCAAGTTACTATGGCCATAACTCTGGGGGATAATTAAGGATAATAAGCAAACATGTAGTGGGTTACATTTAGTTACAGAGGTGCCCACACCTCCACTGGAAAATTCTTAGGGACTGAAAGTTGGCAAACGCTAAAAAAAAAATTGCTTTAGTGAATTTATGTTCCAGCAGCCTACTTTCTCCCATAGCTGAACCCAAGTTTTGATTGTGCTCCTTGGCCTAATATTTGGCCTTTGTTTTCTTATGTAAGTCAGGATGTTTAGTACAAATTAGCGTTATTGAAAAACAATTGCCATCCAAATTAAAACTCTGCCTTTCATTTTACACCAAACCTGCTGGGCTTTTTTAGATAAACTCTGCATCAACTCAGCTATAGTGTTTATGACTAAATGGATTCATTTTTTGGCACAGTAGCCTTGATTCTCCAACTGCATAATGCCAGTCGCAATTCATATTTATCAGGCCATCCTCAAGGGTCATCTGGGGTTGTTCCTGTGAAAGGTATTGAGCAGCTCCTTCCAGAATTTGTTCCCCTTATTCTAGCTGGGAATATTTTCAATGTACAGATACACGCACATATAATCACACATATGCATGTGTTCATATATACCTCTGTGTGTGTGTGTATATATGTGTACCTACTGTTAGGATGTGCCACTAGACACTACTAGTTTTATTTTTGTTTACTTTGTTAATTGCCTCCATTTATATATCTGCAATTTACCCAGATATTATTGGAAGGGAGCACTGCATAATTAGGAAAGTACAAAGAGAGGGAAAGTAAAACAATGTATAACTACAAAAGGATGCCATAAATAAATCCAGAAGAGGTTTTTAATTTCAGATATCCAGCCAAATGGGCTGGCTGGAGACCACGCTTTGCCCCAGTGCATAATTGCTACGAGGTTCAATGAGGAGGCAGGAAAAGTCCTTTGTTACATATGCCCTAAGAAATTATGTTTTAAAAAAATTATATAAATTATGTTTTTTCAAAGTAATATGATGAAAATGATTATATTTTAACTCTGAAGACTTCTGATGAACATTTTATCCTCAAAGAGCACTTAATTAACAAAGGAACATCTCTTTAGTAAAGCAACCCAAAGCCTTGAAAACAATATGAGCATTTGCAAAGATTTTGTAGCATCACCAGAGAGGTTTAAATATGTAGACTGCAAAGCATGAACATCTTTGGAACAAACTTGTCTTTGGGATCTCAGATAAAGCACTTTCCCAGAGCCTGTTTTTTCAGTGATTTCATCAAGGAGGTGATTTCATCAAAAGCTGAAGGAAAGCTAGTGCAATGCTGAAGTGATAAAAACACAAGGAAGAAATTGTAAAGCCATTGAAGAGTGCAGCAGGGGTATCTTCAAATCTTTAAATACTTTTTTCCTTAATAATAGGCAATCAGTAGAACTGAGCAATTATCTCCCTTTACAGATCTGAATAAAAAGATTTCATAAATGGAAGTAGATACAGCTTATTAAATAAATAGTATAGTGTCACATATTGTAAATGCAAAGTCAGACATCAACAAAAATGACATATGCTACTTACTCCTGAAGGGCCATGGTACTAACACCCAAAAATAGACAGGGAATTTTCAGTGCAGAGCCTGTATGCAGCACAGTGCAAAATTTAGACTTTAGAGTGTTACTGCAGTTGTCCTGGGCACTCCTGCATGACCCAACATTCTCCCACCATTTTCTCCAAAGCTGTAATGACTTAAGGTGACCTCAGAAGGCTGTACTGAGAACCCACCCAATGTTGCTACATTTCAGTTTAGGGACACTATTGAAAACAAACAATCAAACAAATAAATACATTATTAAATACAGGAGCTGAAATAAAGTCCTAAAATGTCATCACTTTTAACTGAATGGGTTGAAGGAAACCATGTACTGGTTTAAGACCAGGGACTGGAAATGGCATTTAAAATACTGCAGCCAGCTATAAATTTAATCACAAAGTGAACATATGAAAATGGGGTAAAAAAATCAACCCCATTTTCAGTTGTCAGATATGGCCCTGTATGAATGGAGAAAGGGGTTCATAGCAGTTTGTTAGCTAAAAGTACCTCTTACCAGTTCACAGATCTTGGACTGGCTGATACATCATCCTAGATTTAAGGAAATGACAATTTCCTTCATGTTGAAGTAGTCCCTGATTGTACCAGCATCATGCCAAGCCTGGGACTAGTTGGACCCCCCCGGCCAGTTTCCATTCCTCAGAAGAAGCCAAGATGGTGTAGAAGTGCTTTGGACTCTACAGTCTTGGGGACTAAGGATATTTGCAGAGTAATTTCAGTGGATGCTAGTTCAGTGTGAGCGAAAACCAGGCACTGCTTCTTTCCATCTTCTAGCTGGTCATGGGCTCTTTGGGTTAAACTCGGAGGGTCTCAGTCTCCCCATTACTAATAGTCCAAAGAGCACACAAATCTGTTTCTAAATAATATCTCAAGGAACAATTATTTCTTTTTCAGACAGCCCTGAATTCAGTTACTGTAACTGCAAAGCTATAGACAACTGGTTTGAGACAAATGATTAGAAATCTCAAATTACCACGAGTTAAGCCAGCACTGTGTACTTCCTAGCAGTTTATGAACAATGGTGAGGACACAGTGAGCAGCCATGACCACAGAGCCCAAAGCATTCCCTTTGACTCCACTCGTGATAGTTATCCAGTCAGAAAGGGTAACTTTATTTAATAAGGAAGTAGTTTGGCAATACTCTCAGCCAGAGCACAAGTGAAATCAGAACTTCTTGCTGGCCTGCAGGACAATTCTTCTGCAACATAAGGATGTAGCCTATGTCCTTGTTTGGAGAGAAAACTATTATTGCAGTCCATGCAGTCTATGTTTTATTGCTTGTAGGTGACAAACCCCAGATGAGGGGGTCTACATGCGTATATACATTTTATATATCAGGGTAATGATATGTATATGTGCATATACATAATCCTGCTTATCTGGTATGTATGCAGGCATGGGCATATGTTGGCTGAAGAGCAGGCATGACAGAAGGTTTCTGAAGATTAAACACACCTTAAAAGATTAAATGTTAAACAAGTCTTACAGCCCTTGTAAAGGAACCAAAAATCCATAAGACTTTCAGTTTGACCAAAGGAATATTTTCCTTGGCATTACCTGAACCTGTGTGAGCAAAATGGAAAAATGAAAATATTGCTCAATGTTTCCCTCTGCACACAAGAAATAAATAGTTTCAAGGACCAGATACTGCCCTTGGCAGTATAATATAATAGAGACAGATATAACCAGGAGAGAGAGAGAAAACATCTTCTGCTACTCTGAGAAGAGCCACTTTAACAGGACTTGACAATACACTTTCTCACATTCAGAGGTGCTTGGATTGGCAGTATTACCTTTCTGTGGCAAAGGACATAAACTCTGGCACTGACCATACTCCTGCTTCACTATGTCCCTCATTATCATCAAAAGCTATGACTGATTCCTCTAGCTGCTCCACTATCCAGCACAATAACAGATGCATTTCCATGCTCTCCATTACTCTGCATCTTTCAAAGAGCTTCAGATTATTGCCTTGACCAGTTACACTCAGCTTTTTTTCCCTCTATCATAAGCATTTTGGAGTGCTGAACATACTAATTGCCTGTCTTGTAGAGCTGTCCCACGCACAGTGTGGCAGAGAAAAAACCCAACCCTAAATCTAAATACAAATAATGAAATCCCTTAATTAACATTACTATTAGAGAATAAGAATAGCATCTGTGTTAGATAAGATAAATGCAAATAAGCCAGAAGAATCTCCAGTCTCGTATTAAGATGTAAATCATCTATTTATTACTTTGTGTATAAATGTTCCATTGCTATTTGCACAATGATTAAGAGTAGTTTTCAGAAAATAAATCTTTTTCTTAATAGTGCAAAGAATGAGAAGGATGGGGAATAAATGGGAGTTTAAAGGGATGCTAAAGTTCTCCCATGAGCTTGTATGAGATTTATGTGCAATGTGAATAAAAAATGTATAGGACAGCACAGGATTCACTTTGTTGTTGGTTGCTATTCCATTTGTCTAGTCCAACTGTATTCTTTGCCTCCCAGACATATAGTGAGTCTGGCATTGTTGAGCAAGTGAGGGAATAAACTGCCAGTCAGCAGCTATTCGAGGCAGCTTAACCTCATCCAATCTCATCAGACCCAACATTGTGTAGCAAGACCAGTGCCATGAGACTTGGAGTAAAAGCATAAATGCTACCTGCAAAGCTGCTTCTGCTAGGAAGAGGCATTCTAGGACTCTCACTACTGAGCACTTTTTACTGCTATGCCTTTTCCATTTTTAAATGAGTATGCAATTTCTTCAATTATATATCAGCTTCTGTACAATGTCAACAGCTTAGTAACAGAAGCAAGAGCCGGTGGGATTGTGATACATGTCTGACATGGCTCTCCATGCAGTTTCAGAGCTGTGAGACTTCATGCTTGATGCTTGATGTCCATTCTCTATCTACTCTCTTTAATGTTTACACATAAATCTCTCTACAGTTGCCCAGTTACAAATATGCAAAGGTCCAAATCTGAAACTACTGACACTGCATTTGTCTAACAATATCTGGGGGCTAGGAAATAATACCAATACTATTGAGCCATCATAGTGGAGGTTTATTCCATTTCCTGAGAGGATGGAGACTCAGGTGCTTCTGCTTCCTGCCTGTGTTGTTTCCTCCTGGCCCCCATTCTCCAGTATTGTCTGACCATGTCAACCCACTTAAAGAAAAGCTTGGTAGCAGGGTAGAAGACTTCAGCATAGACCAATCTAGCACAACACATTTTATTTCAGGAAATCAAGAGAAGAGGTAGAGGCAGCAACACACTCCATTATGGCTGCTACAGAGCCACCTCAGATTATTACAGATCAGAGGATCCACACAGGAATACCACATAGTGCTGCAGTAAATGAGCCTGCACATGATCTACCTCTCAAGGAACTACTTGTGGAAGAAAAATAATATTTTTTAGCCACAGAATTATTCCAGCTGTTGACTGGGCGTAGAACAGCCATTCCATGGTGTCTACCATGGTTGTATGGCCACCCTCCTGCCAGGGTACTGGCACACTCCACCAGGCCCCTGGAAACCCACAAGTGCCTCATGGTTGCCTTGTGCTCCCTGAAAAGAAAAATGTCATGGGTTGCTGCAGCCAGCTTTGCCATGTTTTTATGGCACAAAGATGCAAACCCAGGACTTCCCATCCACTCCAGAGCAAGAAAAGGCCTTTTTTGCCTACCCAACCCCAGGTCACCCTAACCCTCTAGCACCTCAAATTTCCACAGCTTGGTTGATGAGCTTGATCAGCAGGGCCTTAGTATCACACGGACAAAAATAGTAGAGATCCTGCCTGGACAGTCAAAGGACTCTGGCAGAGACCAGGAAGGACTAGATGTCACTGTTCTGCCAATGGTGCTGCCAGCTGTGGCCCCAAGAACCTTGGGACAGCTGTGGCCAAGCACTTCTTGTTTTCCAGATAGCAGGAGCTGAGAAAAACTAGATCTTTTTCCCCCTAGGATTCAGAAGAGCTGCAGCTTTAGGTTTTAGAACAGCACTTCTGAAAGCTCTTCTTCCTTAGACCACACGAAGTAAAATACATGGCAAAACTTTGATTCCCTGTGCACCCTTCCTAAGTCAGACAGGTACAAACACAGGCAGGGATATTCACTCCATACAGCAAGTGAACTCCTCACCTTGCACGGAGGAACTGTATCCCAGCTTCCCATGAAGAGGTTGGACAGGTGTCAGCAAACAATTCCACTCCTATAGTCCACACACAATGGGAGCCAAGTTCCTCCCAGAGTTTGCCAGCAGGTTGTCACAAGACAACTCTGAAGTTGAGGCTGGAGGTTCCTGAAGAAGCCACCAGACTATTTTCATCCAAAATGTCAGCACTGCAGAAAAGCAATGGCAGCACTTCAGCCTTGCAGTGACGTTTTGTACCCTCTGGCACACAAGGTATGTAAATAAATGGGTTTCTGTCTAAATTCCATTGTGTGCAGATTTGTACCAAAGAATTGTTGTGATGTGCATCATTATGTCTCATTATGTGATTGCAAGTAACCTTTTGTATAGCAGACACAATCCACGTAACATGCTGTGTGACCAGTTTACAAAGCAGGGCTCCTTCAGAAGGGTGAGTAATTAATCATTATTCAGCAACAGCACTCACCACTCCACACTTGCTGGCAGGAGTGTATAACCCAGGGCATGCTGAGCTATGACAATAAATTATTCATGCAACAGAAAACTAGTTAGCTGTGGTGTTGTTCCAGTAAATGGTTAAAACAAGAAAGCACTCTGTTAGTTTTCAAGTGTGGGGCTGATTTTTTTTTTTAATAAATTAACTGCAAACATATTGCATAAACAAGCGTAGGCCTGAGCTGCAAATGCAGTAGGGAAGAATTAGTATAAGACACCAATGTGTGCTTTTCACAATGCCAAAGTCAATAATCTGAGGATGAGAAGATCTCTTGAAGGTATAGTGCAGTAACTTTATGGCTGTAATAATGTTATTACTTTATCAAGTACTAATTTAGTAGAGAATGAAACACAGATTGTCTGTAATAAATAAACTGCAGCAAATATTTTATTTGATGAAAAGTCATAAGAGAAATTTGCATATTCTGCTCCTTAGGACATGTTTTACTTCATACTTAGCTTTGGCTTTCATTTACATTACACCTGGCAGACAATCTATCATGACGCAAATAAGGCACATGAGATTATTTGCCTTTGATCACTGCCCACTGTTTACACAAGCCAGGGTTAATGCAAAAGGCTGATGAGGGTTAGAGTTTAATCACTGATTTTGGAGAGGCTGGAATAGTACCTGGTTTTTCTTCTGTTGCTTTTTCTCAGGGCAGCTCAGTTCCTCTCTACTAACAAATAGCAGAAGAAAAGTCAGTATGAAAGCAAAAGTCCTTCTATCATCCTGTACTTCACCATGCATACCTACCAAAGGTAGATTTCATCTCAGATCTCACTGTTTACCAAACCTGTGAGTATAATTTTTTCAACTGAGCCATTAGTAATTTTTTACAAAAAATATTTCCCTTTATATGAGAGTATTTATCTCCCAATTAATTCCATTTGAATTAGGAAGAGCTTAATTCACCAGGTCCAGTCACATCATTAAGATTATAGACTTTTTTATAATAGAGAATCAGAAATGCCTTTGCAAAACTATTATTCCAGAAGACTGTTGAAAGGAAGCTGTAATAATTCAAAGGAATCTCAGAATCTAAACATGTTTTGAGGAATACGTTTCCAGCTGCAGAATAAGTATGTGTAACTTCACCAAAATTTGTCACTGAAGAAAACAACCTTTCACTGTGCTTGGGGTTCATAGGCTACTAAGATTTTGGGTTGAAGTTGTTTGACAATAAGAGCATAATTTGAGGAATGAACACCAATCAAGTGCAACATTTAAGATTTATACATGCATTCCAGCTGGTTTCCATAATTGCATTGCACAGGCACCAGCCGTTCAGCAGAGCACATCACGTAGCAAAGGATGAGTTGGCTTTCTCTTTTTCCCAGCAGAGCTGTGTAAGGGGAGCACAGCAATGGGAAGCAGAGGACATACTCACTTCCTCTCATGGAGGATTTCATTTTCTTCTTTGCTGAGAAGACTAGTCTCCTTTGCCCTGAAGTATTAACAAATATACCAGTTCCCAATGAAGACAGGCTGCCCTATATCTATCAATAGAATCTATATAGAATCTTTTCCCTTAGGGATTAATTCAACTTTTGATTCAATCTTTCTGAGCTTTAAATTATGATGTTACAAACCTCCAAGGAACTACTGTACTATTTGTGACCTTCTTTATTACTTTCTGCTGTTTGATAAAGTAGAGAAAATTGATTTATAGATTAGTTTGCTTGTGAACATTGAATATCAATGGTGAGAATGTGATTTGCAGAAAAGCAGGAGAAGCTGGCATTGGTTAAAGTTTAATATAGCAATTTATTAATTAATGGTGAAGGACAATAGAATAACTGCACATTAATCTTCAAAGAGATCCTGGAAGTGCAACGTGAAATAATAGCGATGAATCAAGGCATCTTGCAAGAGTTGAATTTAAAGTTTTCAAAATATTTTCCTCAAAGAATAATTCTGTCAATCGCTTCCACTTCTCTCCCCTAAACCTCTCTCTCTTCCCCTTAAGACCTGATGGTCGTTTTTGTGTTTTCTGTAAGCATTAAAGGTTAAAGGTGGTAGGAGAGGCAGTTTTCCAAATGGAGCCTAAAATTAGGTGTTGGTTTCTGTATTTGGAATCTCAGGCCCCAGTCCAGGAGTCTATTTTTATTCAAAGCAGCCGAGCACTTGACTTCAATGGATCTAAAAACACTCGTGCTTAAGTGCTTTGCTGAATCAGGACAGACTTAAGCACAAATGTAAACGCTGTGCTGAATTGGGGCTCTATATATGTGGCTTGATTTTTAAAAGTGCTGAGAGACAGCAGGTCTAATTGAAGTCGATGGGAGCTGCGAGATGCTCAGCATTTCTGAAAATCAGGCCACTCATTGAGGTGCCTGAATCTGATTTCAGGTGCTCAGATTGCAATATTCAACATGGGGAAAAATGGTGACCCAGGATAAGAGGCAATGGAAAGCCTTGATTTTATGCAATCAACCTTAGTAATGTAAAAATGAGGAGATGGGAGGCAATAGTTTCCTGGAAATCTAATGTGGAGCGCTTTTTTTGGCAAGCATCAAAAGTGCTATGCAAAAATACGAAATGAATAAACAAATGAAATTAGAAAGCCTAGTAACTGGAGAAATACTGGGCTAAATTCATTCCTTGAGGAACAGCAGCAAGACTGCTGAAATAGATCAGGAATGATTTGGCCTACTACGTTTTGAGCATTAATTTGATCAGAGAGTCAACAATGCAAACCCGCAGAGTGAGGAACTTCACTCTACCACCCTTGCGAGAGCCAAGCAGAACAGTTTGGATTAGTAAATGGTAAAAATGCAAAAGCTAAACATTTTTGCAAGTTACAGAGCATAAATTAAACTGCAATGTTAGGAAGAGAGATGAAGTGGAGGCTGGTTGTTTTGAGAAAAGCAATTTTTTCAAGTGAATTCAGTAGTCCTCTCCTTGAAAAGCACAGCCAGGCTGTCCAGCAGCTGGGTCCCTGCCGAGGTGACATCCAGAAGACTCAGCCACACGGTGCCGTGCTGTGAGCCCCCAGAGAAGGCTGCTGTCACAGCAGAACAGGCCTGCAGCCAAAAAATGGCTACCTGTGAATGAACCCTGGCAAACCAAACAAAAGTCATTCTTCCCCTGTTTCTGTGCATGCAAAGGAGAGGGGTGTGAATACCCTCTGCCATCCCCAGGCCTACCTGTTGCGTGCCCGTGGCAATGCTGCTGTGCAAGCCCACAGGCTGCACACTGTATCGTCCCCAAAGGAGTCAGGAAAGCCACACCTGTCCTGCCACCTACCTGTCTGGTTCTCCTGATCTGTCTGCTGAGACAGGGGCTGGCGAAGAACTCTCATGACAGGCTTACTCCCAGAACAGGTGTTTATCATCTCAGGATGGAAGATGCCAACCATTTTGCACTTCTCAGTCCCTACAACCTGCACTGGGATCCAGCATGGCCAGATAGAAAAGTCCTTACATTCCCCACCCCCTTCTAACTCAAACCACAACTCTTAAACTCCACTGAGAATGTTTTGAAAGTTTTCTTACATGATTTATGGCACGGGTCTTCAACAGACTTGGGTACTCATGGCAGAAAGGTGCCACTTTCTACCATTAAATATATCAAAACTGGTGATGCTGTGCCCTGTACAAAGTACAGTAATGCAGGCATGTTCTGGCCAATAATGTGAAATAAGTTACAACCACTAGAAAGAATAACAGAAAACCCACTACACAACCAATTGCAGGGGGAAAAAACCTGTAATAAGAATGAGAAACAGAAAGGAATTTGAAACATTCGTTTCCCTTTATTTTCTCAGTGAGGCTGATGTGTACTGCACATTAAAAAAAAAAGAAAAAAATCACAGGAATTTTCATACAATGAATTAAACCACAAAAGTACATGTAGAATCGGCAGGTGGAAAATAGCCCAGCTTGGGCTTAACTACTATCTCACTTCCCCTGTTCAGCATAGTCCAACCTACAACTTCACGTGTTCACCTACTGTACAAATCTTACAGTAGCTCCATCAGGTCACTGGTTCACATTATTGAAAATGTCTGTCACATAGGTACAAATTTAGAATCATCACATTATATTACATGGCTATTCTAGTTGATTTATAGATCAGATCTTATACTATAGTGATTGAAGTTCTCATTACAGCCATTAAGAAGGACACATAATCATTACCTACTGTAAGCATACATCTAAAGGGATGAGAAGGAGGTGTGGTTGTGTTTCTTGGTTTTTTTTTTTTTCAACTGACCCAAGTATTATTACCCCAGAGGCACAAATTTTCCTCTCAGTGCTGCTCATGGTGATGGCAGCCCAACTGATTTTCAGAGTAGCTTAGCACTGGTATTTTTCTTCAACTCTAGACTCCCCGTGTTTGGATTAGTATTTAGATAATTTTCCATTCTGCAGGAATTCCTCAGTTACAGCTCTAGGAGAGACCACAGTTCCTAAGTACCAGTTCTGTTACCTGTATTGTGGATGTGGTACTTACCACAGCATGAAAGCAACAGTACAGTCTTCTTATAAAAGACACACAGAGCTATACTGCAATTTGCCTCTGGTGACAATGTGGCACATGTGCTAATTTGAAATGTTCTTGGGAAAGAAAAAAAGAAAAGTAAACACTGAGTTTATATTTTGATGGATTTCCTACTACAGTGTCTATGAAAGATCCAAATAGCTTTATTCAGCAATCTTAGCTCTATTAATTTCACATTTAATTTGTAAATCCACAGAGGAAAGCCATCTTCAAGATGAAAATGTTTGCCAGGCCAGTGAAAAAAAAAAAAAAAATTACTCACTTCATTATGCCTGCTTGGTGAAAAATAAATAATGCCCCCACACAAGCCCCACACCAATTTCTTAATGTCAGCAGTCTAGGGCAAAAGAGAACATTTTAAAATTTAATGACAGAAATGTAAAGGCAAAATAGGTAATGCATCTGGTCCTTGAACACATAATATGATATACTAAATATTGATTTCTTAAAAATAATTTATTGCTTTTAATATTTTTTTTTACAACAGAAGATACTCAAAATCCAGAAAGAAAAATTGTAAACTTTTAGTTTGGCATTCACACAAAGTTAAAATACCTGCATTTTTAACCTACAGAGCAACAACAAGAATTATGCAGAGTAAAGGATGTTACATTTGTAACACAGAACCTCCAGAAGAGTTCTTGTCTTTTCTTTTTGTTTTATTGCTATCTATCTACTGAGAAATAAGAAGCCAAAAAATCAAGCAAGCATCCGACAGGACAGACAGTGGAATCTCTCAGAACACAATATGCTGGTGATAAAATGAATGCAGCCATCAAAATCAACTGCACTGGTATGGGGGTAGAATCAGTTTTCTAAGATTTGGAGTGGGAAGGTAGATTAAATAGTTAGGTGTGCCATACCTTTAAGAAGAGTCATGAATGCCAAAGAGTAATAGAATAAGAAATCTATACATTCACAAGCAAATTCCAAACTTTGCTGATTCAGTAGAGACTCCGAGTTCAGATGAAATTCTGATGCTCAGAATAGCAGTAGTTTATACTCTTGTGGTTTTTTTCTTTCCTGAAATTTCTATTTAATTTAACAGAAGCAATGTCATCAGCAACAATGTCATGGGCACATTTGAGGCCATGCTAGTGCATAGTAAAAAAAAGAGGAAAAAACCCAAAACCAACCCACTGCTTCTGCAAAAGCAGAATTTCCAAACAAAGCACTTGCTTACTCCAAACTGACAACCATCATGCATCCTAGGTATAAAATTTCCACTGGCCTTTTTATTCTTTTAGTCATCTCATAATTTATAATAAATAGGATAATTATAACTGATAAATATGTCTCTTTAGTAAACAAAGGAATGAAGGATTGGTATTTATACAGGATGCATAACTGTAAAAAATATAGATAAATACCATCATTAAACTCTGCCAATGAAAAGATTACTGGCTTCAAGAACAGTGTTTAGACACAGAATTACTGTAAAAATCATACTGTACTTAGTACCTCAGCATATTTTTATCAAACTAAAATCACAAAAATTAAAACAAAATAGCATTTTAAAAAGATTTTTGACCTCTACTTCCAAAACTACTGTTGATACATAAAATAAAAACATTTCTTAATGATTACCCATTTGAGAGACTTTACATAAAATTATGATATTTTCTAGAAAAATTTAGATGAGAAAATTTCACTCCCCTAACAAATTCAGTGTATAAAACTGCAAAAGAAAATCAAGCAATGAGAAAAATGTGGAAAAATACTGCAGAAGGGGGTTAATATCTTTTGGGCTAGGATAATTCTTGACAAAATTCTTATATAAGCTCACCAAAGAAGGGATGAATGTGTATAATGCATTTTTGCACTCAGACACACATGCACGCATATGCACACTCACACCCTCACCCACACGCTTTTCTCTTTTTTTTTTACAATCAAATATATATAAGCGTAAGTTCAGCTTTCTACATATGTTAGTGTACAATAATTGTTTCACCTCATATAATTACATTTGAGTATTCTTGATTAAGAAAAATTCAGCAGTTTTTGAAAAGAAGGCTGCATTTACAGTGCATAGCTGTAACAAAAAAGAACATCGTCATACAGTATGTACATAAATAAAAATACTCCATTTAACATTTGTAAATACTCAACTACTTTAGAGAATGTAGCAAATAAACTATCTGTGCACACACCCAGATAGTTATATCCAACTCTCATTAATAATGTAACACCACGTCCGCTCATTAGAATAAATCGCTGAACAAGCTGCACATTTGACCATTAACAAGGCTTTGAAAATTTTGCTGTGGAAGATCAATGTTGTAGACATTTACATGGGTGTCAGAATTAAAAGATGAAACTTCAAAATGTTAGGGAAGCTTGAGCCTTTTAATTTTCTTTTCTGCAAAAAAAAACCCCACAAAAAAAACCAATCAAAAACCCAAAAAACAAACCAAACCAAAAAAGAACAATCTTAAAACAAAGCTAAGACAGATTGCAGGCTTCTGGGACCTGTGGTTTCTTCTGGATTGTCATATTATCATCGTGAGAAGAAGCTTCTTTACAAAAAAAAAATGCAGTGTCTGATCCCCAGACATCAGCAGCCATAGTTCTCACACTGGGGTTTTTTTCTGTTTGTTTTTGTTCTTTTTTTGTTAAAATGCAATATGTACAGATTTTGCAGTTCATCGTTGTACGTGTATCTCTGTGGAACTGCTGCCATGTCTCGTGATTTGCACTGAACGCGCAAGGAACGCCCGGCTCCCCCGCCACCGCTCACCCGCGAAAGCGCAGCTGACACCCATGGACATGCGTGTGCTTACTGGACAGCATCCTGCCCCTCCACTCCTCGAGCAGCTGTGTTCATGTAAACCATGGTTTTGAACAGAGAGTGTAAAGTAGGAGAAATTCCTAAGTACGACTTTTTAGTTGTCCGTTATTGAAGGACGTGATGTCCGTGAGGTATTCGCCATCCCTTTGTTTTCCTAGGATGACATGCTTGTTACCTACGCAGGCTCCGCTGTGCCTCTTTGAGTAAACTATCAAAATCCATGGAGTCATACTTGCTTTTAGTAGAAGCAGGATCAAAATCATCTGAATTTGAATCTGAAACCCAAAGGATGCAAGTTTAAGTAAGAAGCAAGAAGTACTTATTTTCTCTGTACATTGGTACAAACAAGACACTGAAGAAACACTCCACTTACAACCACAACTTTATGGGATGATAGAAGCATAGAAATGACCATCACAGAAGCTTTAGGCATTCCTGGTAGGAAGTAGCACCTAACAAAAGTGGTACACATCGTCAGCAGTGGGTAAGAGCCACTAACTGCATATACTTTTAGAGCAGGTTAACTCAAAACAGTTTCCTCAAGGACTTGAGCACCAAGACACTCGTGTATAGGTCTCAAAGTAGTCCAGATAATCTTGACAGATGCCTTAACCAAAACTCCACCTTTGTCTTGTAATTGTTGTTCTGTAACGTGTCCAAGACTTAATTTTCCTAAGAAAGGTTCTGAAGAAAGCCAGGGCAGTCTGTGAGCAGCATACAGAGGACAGAGCCCACCTTGCCTTGGGGCCTTGTGGAAGTCTTTACACCTGCCAGAATCTCTGGTTTTGCTTCAGTTTATCTTTTGGGGTTTGCTTGTTTAGAGTGGGAGCAATTCTGGGCAGGGCCGCTGCATGGCTGCATGAGCAGTCTCAGGTGGGCTCCTCAGCTTTCTGCATCACATGTGATAAGCCACAGCAGCAAGAGCAGCCCAGCTCCTGCAGCCTGGGATACCTGTTCCAGCCTGGGATACCTGTTCCAGTCAGTTGCTCAGGCACGGACATCATTCTGTTCCCTGCAC